ATGGTGACATTTGTCCACCATATTTCTAGCTTGCCCACGTAGTAACGAAACTACTCAATTTAACTTCTCCAATTTGGAGAAATGAAAACTTTCTAACATTATCTTTCTATCATTTAATCAAATTTCCATAACAATGGAATATTTCTCAAATACACCCTTGAACTCGGGTGTTCTCAACTCTTTTCGATACATTCATTCAATGAATTATAGAGGTATAAAATTAAAAACACATCATAATATCATTTAACATCATGAAATATTCTCTAATCTTGTACAGGCACGCCCTGAGGTTTTTCGCTCTTCACCTTGCATGGCCAGGGCAGGTGAATGCTATTACCTTCAGTCTATTGCCTTATGCTTCACTTTGGAAACTCTTATGATCATACATATAATATAACATAACATTTTAATTCTATTAGCAAGACAGTACACTCCTTACACTATCAGATCATAAAATTTTTCACTTTATGTTGGTAAGTATACTTTTTAAAACACTTTTGACTTCGTTTTTAGCCTAGAATCGGCTAAACCGTAGCTCTGATACCATTAAATGTAACACCCCAACCCGTACTCGATCCGAATACGAGTCTGAGATGTCACATTGACTTTTAAAAATGATATTTTTATCAAATATCAAAACATTTGAACTCATTTTAAGAAAATACGATCATATATTGTTGAATTGTGTTTGTTATAATTTTTTTTAGTCAAAAATGTATTTATAAACAGTAAAATATGGTATGAACAGTACCATATGAATAGTGATGAACAGTACCATGAACAATACCTGCTACAGTACCCGAATGTTAAAATTTTCCAGATTACAAATAGGGTATCGATACCCTGCTACAGGGTACCGATACCTTGCTCTAGTACTGTTACAGTACTACTACGGTACTTCCGTAAAATATGTATAAATTCATAAAATTGAAAACGTTCATCATCTTTCATTTATCGTTTACAAATATACGTTTAAAACATTACCAAAATTTAATCATATGATTTTACAAAATCAATTAGAACATATCGAATTTAATCCTTTATTTACATGCCAACCACTATCCTCATTACAAAATACATACTATACATTTCTTTTCTGATCTGACCTTTGGAAAGGATGAATTGACCTGCATTGCATAACTTTTATCAATCTTCCTCTTCTCGGAACCTACGCGTGAAACAATCACACACTAAGTCGATGACTTAGTGGGGCATATAAAACATAAACTATAACCATATATCATTTCATATAAACAAAAGATATACATATGCAAATACTATCATATCATATAAAAACATAAATCATTAACATGTTTTTCAATACTCATATTATTGTTACTAATTCCTTGTGATTAAAGCATATGTTGAACATTTCTATACATATCATAGAACACATATATTTCACAAAGAAACACACATAGCATCCTATAATTCATGCAATACCTTTCATATCACCACAAGCATATGCATCTTATATATTGTATTTGTTATTGTCTCTTTATTAGCCCATGGTACACTGGTGAGAACTGAAGGTATGTAAGTACTGTGAGGTTGTGCACTATGCTGTCACCACAGCTCGTATAAATTTGCACCGAAGTGCCACGTAGAATTTGTCCCGAAGGACCGCGTAGAAATGCACCGTAGTGCCATATAAGATTGTCCATAAGGACCACATATAAATTCCTTAAGAATCATATACATATACCAAGGATCAAGTAAGTGTCTCAAAAGACCTCATACATGCTCCAAAGAATACATATACGTCCCGAAGAACCACGTAGAATTTGTCCCGAATGACCGCGTATACCCTCTACTCTTGGCATACAAACTATACCTCTAGATCTCATGTCACATAACATGGGCATTATTTTTCATATTTATCACATATCATATCATCACATAGTTCACTTACACGTAGAACATTTTCATATGATTCATATTCATATGTCACATAGCTTATACTTTGTTCTTATGCCTTCTCATAGACATATATTCTTTCTCACGTAGTCACATAGGTCCATATCATATATCATATAACATATATCATTTCTCATTTGTCCATGTACGTATGCCATATCTTGTTCACATATGATTCACATACATCACATATATCACATATTCATATGGGCTCACGGTTTTTTCACTTCTCATATTATTTCACATATACATCTTTATATCATATAAACCCATATCTTTTATCACACATCTTCTTATTATATCATTCACCTTTCCATTTATTTACATAAGCCACATAACATTTACAAGAACATATCCAATCATATAATCAAGCATCCATACATTTTCATGTCATTCATTTCCTTCTCTATATCATTATCACATAGCTTATTTTATTTCTCATGTTTTTATGTAAGCACATATGTCATGTCTTGTTTACTTATATTCATATATCTATCATACAACACATAGAACAACATGTCAAACATATCAAGTATACATGTAATTATGTAAATTATGTCACATACAATAACATTTTAAGAGTTACTTCTTACCATAGTAACTCCGTCACTAGCTCATCGCAAGCCAATGTTCGTTCTATAAGCACAAATTAAATTGCACTCACCTTAGCCTTGCTTTGATTCAATCTTAATCCTTTGATTATTCTGGAACTTGTTTAGGCTCAATATCTACATAAATATAACATTTCAAAACAATTATCAGAAGCCTAAACCTTAAACTTGATATTAATAACTTAAGCCGGTTTAATGAACCAAAATTCCATTTTTTATTTAGGGGATATCTATACCCCCTGCACAATCTGGAATTTTCGTTTAAGCCTAGAAAATCACTGTTCATGCCCAAAAATTCACTATAACAACTTAAATTCTTCATGTTTCATTCACTTTTCTATTCTTAACTCAAATATACATACTTAAACTAATTTATATCCATTTATTTCATCTTAAACCTCAAAATTCTATTCTCCATATAGAAATCAATAATCATACCAAATTTTCCATGTTATCCAAACTTAATTCTTACACTTCTAACTTCTTATTCTCATAGATGACAAGTCAAATTCAATCTCAAATTCAACTTATCAACTCTATTTCAAGATTTCATTCAAGAACTCAAAATCTTTAACCTCTCCTATACCTTTCATCTTGTTGTTTTAGAACAAATTAAGCTTTCCTTAAACTTAATTATCATCTAATGATCAAAACCTAACCTTTAATTGAACAAATAATCAACTAATGAAGAAGCTTACCTTTGCCTTTGAACTCTTACGTTTGAGAGCAGAAGGAAGAAGAAGAAGAAATGTTTTCATCTTATCTCCCCACGTTTTATCTCCTATTATAGGGAATAAAAATATATTTTATTGTCAATTGACCATTTTGCCCTTTAATTCATTTGATAATTACTAATAACTTTCCGGAAATATTCCCAAATAAATCATTGAACTATTCAACTATTCTGCTTTAATCACCAAAAATCTGAAATTTTACAATTTGGTCACTAACCTGGTATTGAGGATGTTACAATGCAAGTGAATGCTCGAAATGCTGTGATTCGTACATAGCTTCAACGAAATATATCTCCTTAAAACCATTTATTTAGATGAATATTATCAAAAATAAAATAAAATACAGTTTTAGTTAAAAAAATATATTTAGAGAATTATGATAAAATTTATGTGAATACTAAAGTTAAATGTGTTTAAATACGACTTTGATGAACTCATCAGGCAACCTTAGTGATTAAATAGAATAATATTCTTTCTAGAGGTTCTGAATTCAAAAAGTTATATTTGTAGGTGTGCGTTGTCAAAAAAACTATGAAAGATAAATTTTGAACTTCAATTTGACCCATGTCAATACACAAATAAAGAAGTTGTGTATACTTGAATTTCTCTAGCTAGATTCATAATATCTAAATTTCTTTTAATTATTGTGTTGACACGAGTTTTATTTAAGTGTAGGATTTGTCTTTAACAACTTAAAATTAATAACTCTGATATTGAAATTCAATGAATGCATCATTTTTTAGATATTAATTTTCTTAAATGTATAAATATATATCTATTAAGTGATTGAAGACATAATTTATATACGTGCGTTGTTGTTGTTATAGATATATATTTTTTATATGCATAATACATATTTTTCTTTATTGAAAAAAATGCAATAGTATTTTTTCAATTTTCTCATTATGGATGCAAAGTTTTCAATTATTTCATTTTGGCCCAAATATCACTAGAATCCTTCAAAAAGGACGAATACTTTGGATTCACTGTGGAATATATCGTATATATAAACTCTAATCAATCCTAATTTACTCCATTTTTTTCAACTACAATATTAATCTCATTTAACCTACAAAATTGATATCATTTCTTAAATATTTTTTATTTAAGGTAAATCACTCTTGTTTTCTTTCAACTAAATTTTCTTAATTTCCACCTTAAAACTGGATCCAATGTTTATTCTCACAGCCCACAAGTTGACAGACAAGTAAGATCCACGCCATATGCCTTCCGTCCTTGGACTCATATCGCCAGTTAATTAAGAAAATCACAGTCCGTGAATTTTATCAGAAACCACTTACGAGTCGACTTTAAAATAACTTTGCTGACGATGGAGGTACGTCCACGTCATCTACTTTAAGCCAAAAGAATGAGGAAATCTGACGAATCCGGATTCTTTAAAATTTGGTGGTCGTTTCTACACAAAAAATAAAAAATGCGAACAAGTGTCAGTTTTTCATTTGAATGCAGGTAGATATTAAGCGCTCCCTCCGTGGACCCCTCCCCACTTAAACATTACCCCCAAAGAAGAAAGGAAATTTGAGTTTAATTTGCATATGCATTTGAATTTAGAGGGGAAAACGAGGTTCATTCTTCTTTACTATTATTATTATAAGAATAAATTATTTAATTCAATAAGGTTGTTGAAGATTATTATATCTCATTTTTAATTAATTTTTTGAATTTATGTATTAGTTTAAGGTTGAGATGAAAAAATAATTGTCTTTTTTCATTTCATTTCTTGCTTTCTCTCTCTCTCTTTTAAGCCCGGCTTTGAACTTTCAAGTTAAAAACACACAAAGGTTGTTTTGTTTCCTTCTTGTTCCTTGAAGAGATATTCTGGGTTTCTTTTCTTGGTCTCAAAATTGTGTTTCAAAGGTATGTTTTTTCCCGTCTCTCTTTTTTTGCTTTTATGTTCTAAAACAGGCGAAAAAGAATGAAACTCTCAAGTGTTTTTATTGTTTTTTTCGTGTGTTAGTACACCATGTTTGGAGATTAGACTGGAGTGTTTTTGTTTGCGCAGTTAATTTTTGATCAAGTTTTTGTAACCGGCTCTCTGTTTCTTTTTTTTGGTTTTAGCTTTGTCTTGGTTTCTTTTTAAATCTCGGATAACTTTATTTGTTATGTAGTAAATGGTTTTGGTGTTTAATGATCAGATCCTTATCTATAAAAATTGAATGCTATTAGGAAAAAATTATGATGCCTTTGGTTGATTTCATAAACTGTAAGTCTGTAACTGGGAGATTTCGGCCTCCTTTCTCTTGTTTTTGAGTCAATTTCCGGTTTTGCAGAGAAGAGGAGGAATTTCCATGTGCAGTGGTCCAAAGAGGAAGCCAACTCAAAGTGGTTTAATCATGGAGAGCGAATCTCGTAAAGAAGATGGGGTTCCTCAAAAGTTATCGGTTTTGCTGGAGTTGTCGGCTTCAAATGATTTGATTGCCTTTAAAGCTGCTGTTGAAGAAGAGGGTCATGATATTGATGTGCCAAGCTTGTGGTACGGAAGGCGGTTGGGTTCGAAGAAGATGGGGTTTGAAGAAAGGACACCTCTTTTGATTGCTTCCTTGTTTGGGAGCAAGGATGTGGTGAACTATATCATTGAAAGTGGACGTGTTGATATTAACAGGGCTTGTGGTTCGGATGGGGCCACGGCTCTGCACTGTGCTGCTGCTGGTGGCTCCTTCGATTCCACTGAGGTTGTCAAGACTTTGCTTGATGCTTCTGCTGACACTGATTCCCTCGATGCTAACGGGAACAGGCCTCGTGATTTGATTGCTTCGTTTTGTAACTCGGCTTTCGGCTTGAGGAAGAAGATGTTGGAGTCTTTGTTTAAAGGAAGTGGTAGTGTTGGTGAGATGGACAGCTTGCCTGCTCAGTTAGGAAATGAAATGGGAGGGATAGAGGAGCAGGAGAATACAATGACCCGGGCTTCGAAAGATGGGACCGAGAAGAAAGAGTATCCTGTTGACCTTACTCTTCTTGACATTAAGAACAGGATATACGGCACAGATGAGTTTAGGATGTATACCTTCAAGGTCAAGCCTTGTTCAAGGGCGTACTCTCATGATTGGACCGAGTGCCCTTTTGTTCATCCCGGGGAGAACGCAAGGAGGCGTGATCCTAGGAAATATCATTATAGCTGTGTCCCTTGCCTTGAATTTCGTAAGGGATCCTGCAGGCAAGGTGATAACTGCGAGTATGCTCATGGTATTTTCGAGTGCTGGCTTCATCCTGCTCAGTACCGAACTCGTTTATGCAAGGATGAGACTAACTGTACCAGGAGGGTCTGTTTCTTTGCTCACAAGCCTGAGGAGCTTCGTCCCTTGTATGCTTCAACAGGTTCAGGAGTGCCTTCCCCTAGATCATACTCGGCGAATGGTTCGTCCTTAGAGATGGGTTCCATTAGCCCACTTGCACTCGGCTCCCCATCTGTTATGATACCTCCATCATCAACTCCACCCTTGACCCCTACTGGTTCCTCTTCTCCTATGGGGGCGTCGATGTGGCCAAATCAGTCCAACATCATACCTCCTACTTTGCAGCTTCCTGGTAGTAGACTGAAAACTGCTATCAGTGCTCGGGATATGGATTTAGATATGGAACTGTTGGGGCTGGAAAGTCATCGCCGTCGCCACCAGCGGCAGCTAATTGATGAGATGTCCGGCCTTTCCTCTCCAACAAGCTGGAACAATTCTACAGCATTTTCTGCCTCTGGTGATAGAAATGGTGAACTAAACAGGTTTGGAGGGGTGAAGCCGACTAATCTTGAAGATATTTTTGGATATCTTGATCCGACTATTATGCCACAAATACAAGGGCTCTCACTTGATGCTGCAGCATCTCAGCTGCAATCTCCCACTGGAGCTCATTCACGCCAGAATATTAACCAGAAGCTCCGCGCAAGCTACCCAACAAATCTACCATCCTCTCCCGTTAGGGCATCTCCCTCATTTGGGATTGATCCATCTGCTGCTGCAGTTTTAAGTTCAAGGTCAGCTGCCTTTGCAAAGCGGAGCCAGAGCTTTGTCGAGTGCACTGCTGTAAATCGTCATTCAGGGTTTTCTTCACCGGCTTCTTCAGCAAGTGCAATGCCCTCTAACCTATCAGACTGGGGTTCCCCCGACGGCAAACTAGACTGGGGCATACAAGGAGAAGAGCTAAATAAACTAAGGAAATCTGCTTCCTTCGGGTTCCGAAGCAGTGGCAGCAAATTGGGAAACGCAGCGCGCCCTATATCATCAACTCCTGATGAACCTGATGTGTCTTGGGTGCAGTCTCTTGTGGTGGACCCTCCTGCTGCCGGGCAGTTAAGTTTTGGCGACGAGGAGCAGTGTCATTTTAACAACGGAGGCACTGAAATGCTTCCTGCCTGGGTGGAGCAGTTGTACATGGAGCAGAAACAGATGGTGGCCTAAAAGCAAAGCTAGCCCCACCATTATCTCCCAAGTTAACCTTTAACTAGTTTTATCTTTGCCCATATTTTTGAATTTTTGTCAAGTTTATAATTGGAATGAAATGGACCAGGAGAGAATACAAGGTGAGCAGAGAACAAAAGGTAATTGCTCGTACGTTCTCAAGAATAATTTATCTGTTATTCTTTTTATTCACAGAATTTGGTTCGCTTCTTGGTATGGGTCCGTATTTCATCCCCAAAGCCGAAGAGGGTAGAGTTAGGCCAGTGTTCAACTCCTGAACTAGTCAAGTTGCAGGCAGGGCTACATTCATTTCAATCTGCAACTGCACTGATTCTTTATTTAGTATATTCTAAGATGGTCGGGGGGATTGTTCTTGTTCACATTTTTTGTACCAAAAAACTACAGCTATATCTATTTTTCTGTTAAAGCTTGCTTGTCCTGTTCCATGTTTTGATTGTGTTGAATCATAATGTAGATTGCTTTCTACCTTTCTCTGTAAAAAAAAAATGGAAACTGGTGTAATCCAGCTTCTGCGTTATTAAAATACCATTAACTTGAAGAGTTCCAGTTCTTCACTCAAAGCACATAATTAGTGGATATTTTATTCTGTTTCCTCCACTGTAATAATTGTATCTTTACAATGTCATTTAGCTATCAAACTTTTTGAAATGTAAAATTCTACTTTTTGGCATTTCAAAAAGTGAGGTTCTTTCAATACATGATCCAAAGTGGGTGTAATTGTTTGAGCATTAACAAAAAGAAGGAACTCCTACTTGGGTATTGGGTAATCTTGGTAGTGGAACGGGCACTATGAGTCTAGGAGAGTGAACAAATGAGTTGTAGATATTAGGATTTGAAATTTAGACTCTCTATATAAATCGATTAAGCTATAATTCGATTCTTAGTTCAAAGAGGTTTTTTCAGATGCTGAAGCCGCGTAATAGAAAGATATATTGTTAATATTATATATTAGATTCCAGTACAGGACTTGACTCCTGCAGCCTGCAATGGGATTATTTTAATCTTGGTGTGCATTTCTTAATCTTATTCGATTCTTAAATAGTACTAGTATTAATTGTCATGCATAATTTCCTGAAATGGGTTTTATTTTGCTGTCAGCCACGTATTTCATGTCAAGGAATTTAAATTCGAACTATATTTAGTTGAGAAACTGAAGCAAGACTTAGACAGAAAGGTTTGAAAATAGATACTAAGCATGCTGTATATCTTTGACCATAGAATTTTGCAGATGTAGAACTTTACTTACAAGGGCTGATATCATCACTACTGTACTTTTACAGGTTCAGATTCCACAAGGGAAAATTGAATAACAATCTCATCTAACAATTGGTCTAAAATATTTGATCCAAAATCTGCAGTAATATCTTCTAGTTCTTCATTGTTGGACTTGGAGCATAACCAACTTGATTTAGCTGCTACCTCTGCTTCAATCACCCTGCAAATTGCATCCCAACCTTCCAAGTTTCTCTCACAGTGGCCATCTTTTGAGATTGACCCCACTTCAATGTTGTCTGCCCTTCCACCATCTTCCATCAAATTACCATCATTACAAGGAGGCTTGCATTCATAATTTTCCAGGTCTGGTGATAATTTCCTTCTTGGGTTTAATCCTTGTGCTGCTTTTGAATATTCCTCTGTTATGAGTAATCCAAAATCAGTTTAACAAAGGGACATAAATAGAATCAAATACGTGTACACATATACAGAATTGAGAAGGACCAACCTGATGTAGAAACATCGTGATCATTGATGAATTGATCAAAAACAAGAACAGAAACCGGGCTTGAATCTTCTGAGCTGCATTCAGGCTCTACATTTGGAGTCCCGGGATGGTTTATTTTCTTCTTTTTCTTCTTCAGTTTCATTCCATCAGACATTGCTGCTTTCTTCTCCAAGCACAAATCGTTGGCTTCCCTGCATATGGCCATTTCCTTATTAGCCTTCTCAACGATTCTTCTGTTCGTCTTTTCCTCATCCATCACATTCAAAACCCTTTGGTTAGCTTGTTCATCGTCTTCTTTTATCTTTTTATCAGGAACTTTCTCGCCTCGGTTTTCCTTGTCTACTTTCCTTTGCTTCAATTCTCCACTGCCTTGCTTTGATCTCTGCTCTTTCCTCTCACTTCTCTTCTCAAAGCTGAGAACAAAAAACTTTTCATTTTCCAGCTCAATGTAAGTAGGCATGTCTCTGAAAGACAATGTGGAGTTCAGTCGTCTATGTTTCCCATGGATTGAACCACTATCTTGCTTATAATCGGCAGAATTCATCGACCTGCTTCTCGTAATCGAATTCGGATGTAATTGTGACTTAAGCAAGGTTGTTTCAGGCAAGCAATCCAACCCCATTAGCCTCGCAACAATCCCTGGAGTGACCTTGGAAGAGGCATCATCCAACTGTTGTTGTTTGTTGAAAGTAGCTACTGAATTAGCCTCCTCAGTAGTGTGATCAGAAGGTTGCGTGGGGAGAGTCCTGGAGCAAAGAATCCTACGTAAGATCCCTGAAAGGCAACCAGTGGTTGCACTTTTTGGAGTGCACAGTTTTGGATCAAAAGAAGCAGTTGAAGAAGAAGAAATGGAAGGGGAAGAAGATAACAGCTTCATGTTGTATAAAAGTAAAGTGAACGACTTGGGAAAGAGAATATTGAAAGGAAAAGAGAAAACAACGCAGAGAATGAGTAACTTTAGCTTTTCGCAACTCCACAAAAAGGAAATAAAAGCAAAAGGGCCCTCAAAAGCCAAAAAGGAGCAAAATTTGAATGTGAGGTGAGTGTAGGTGGGGCAAAAGGAAAGTTGGAAGGCGGGATTTGGCATTTGAAACTGAGTATTAGCAAGACTATACCTTGCTTCTGCGTAGGGATGGACTTAAAAAGATTTTTATGTTAGATACTTAAATTTATAAAATTTTAAAATAGATGAATTTATAAAAATTTTAGTGCAAAAACGATTTATCGATAGAAAATTTCAAGAGCAACCATCTATACATCCGTGCTTGCATGCCCAAATGACAAAAGTCTATTATTGTTCCAGCAATTTTGCGTTTTGCATCAATGGGATTAAACACGAAGTGATAAGATGACTTCATCGGCAGCCAGCTTGCAAAAAACATAAAAATAGCAAAGCTAAACATGTTATTTAGAGACATTAATAAATGGTTACCGAGTTAGAAGGGATGCCTAGGAAGGAGAGAATTGGGTAGGTGAAACTGTGAGACAATGAATCAGAGGGAAGGACAAGTCATCCACAGTTGCAGAATGAGACACTGTAGAAATTCTTTGGGGTTTGGAGCCGAAGATGCTGACATTGCTCCTCTATGAAGTGGCCTTTTCAAAACTTCACCTTTGGACATTAGCTAAGAACTGCCCAACATTGGTTTCGAACCAGAGGGTAATACACTGCCATTCCCCGACCGAAATCTGTTGCCGTGTTCGATGTTTCTATTTATCTACATTTTCTCTGTTGAGAATTTCTAGGCAATTTTATCGAAATATCACCCTTACACGCAATAATTATCTATTAGACTATTTTTCAAATATTATAAATATAGCATACTTTGTGACACGATGACAATAAAGTGTAGATCGTTATCTGTACCTTTGCAGGATTTTGTCCGAGCTGGCGTTACATAAGAGTTTTGCGCCTTAACGGGGTTCTGACAAGTACGAAAGGTGTTGATCATGATTCACGCCTTTCCTTTATTTCCCAAATCGTCTATCTCCCACATTAATTACCACTTGTCTCCCCCTCCACTCTTACAATAAATATCACACTCAACACAACCTTCAAACTACACTCATATATCAAATTCTCTTATTCTTCTTATCATAACTTTTTATATTAAGGTAAAATATATTATATTATAATAAATTATTTAATAACTTATTATTTTATTAAATTTTATTGTACTAATTTTTTTTATTACTTTTTACAGTTATAAAATGAAAATCGGGTTGTTATGTTTAGATGAGAATTATATATCGAGTCATTTTATTGATACGGTAATAATTTTAAACTGTGTTGTTATTTTAGTGAATGTTTTACTTATTTAATTTTTTAGTATTAGTTTATATTTTAATTTGTAAACTATTTTTTAGTTAGGAGAGAGACTTATATTAGATCCAATCATTCGTAACGTTAAGTTAGAGATACCTAATAATGTCTGGTCGTATTTAGCGAGGCTGGATTCAATTATGTAGCGAAATATGAAAGGCAATGTAACCTTGAATCCAACCTTATTTTTGCACTGGTTGAGAGGTGGAGACCAGAGACACACACATTCCATCTTCCGTGTGGAGAGTGCACGATTATGTCGGAGGATGTTTTCATACATTTGGGGCTTCCGGTAAATGGGGATGTGATTTATGAGGTGGCAGATGGTGACTGCATTCCTTGTGTGAGGAGTACCTTGGAGGTGTCCCGCCTAATTTCAATGATGATCGAATAAGTTAAATTGGTTGGGACTTTTATACATTTGAGTTGCGACGCCTCCGAGGAACATGTTAAAATGTATGCATGAGCTTGCATATTACAACTCATATGAGGGATCCTGATGCCTGACAAATTACGCAAGAAAGTTCATTGTATATGGTTGTGTCACCTCGAAGATTTTCACATTGTCAGTACACTCAGTTGGGGCTCTGCGATTTTGGTATTTCTGTATAGGTAAATGTGTCGAGCAACTAATTATCGAAAAAATACTATCGGCATATGTCTCCTTGTTCTCCAGTCTTGGGCGTGGTATCGCATACCCTTTTTATGTCCGGTTATGAAAAACTCATTAGTCTTCCCGCTATTATTGAGGTAATTTCAATACTAAATTTGTATATAAATAATTTTGTTGAGTATATAATGAAACTTTTTCATTGAATATGTGGTCAAGTGCAAGAAAATATCATCGGGATTTACTGGATGAATTGGAAGAAATTCGATTACTCATTGATCAGAAGACTGGTATAGAGGTATATATTTAAATTTTATTATTTACTTTTAATTATCGTTATATAATTAAATTATTATTTTGATAAGAATTATATATATATTTTTAGTTTCAATGGACTCGTTATTCTACTAAAGAAATGAGGATTTACATCCCACATCATTTGAGATGCCCATTAGATGTTTAGATGGAGGTGGTCCCTCTGATATGTTATGCTATTATTGAGTGACATCTTACTGATCGTGTGCTCCGCCAAATTGGTTTCGTACAATCTATTCCGAAAGCACCTAAGAATCTTGACGATACGCATATCATCGATAGAAGGGACAAAAAAAGTCGACTGGTTGCTGAAGCACATCGAGTGAGTAATGATATGGAAGGATCGACGTGGATGCAATCCCCGTACGGAACCCATTTATGTGGATCATTATTCGGTTGCAGATGATTATCATGGGTGGTTTAACACGAATAAGAAACTATTCCTACTTTTCAAGGAAGCACGAGGTATGAGCATTAATCGACGCCGACAAAGACATCCACTGTCACAGCATTATCGTCCCCCGACTCGTGGACGGAGAGTAGGCGATTATGGCTCGTCCTCAGTTGCAGCAATGGAACCATCACAACAGCCACCGACTACACCGGTGTACATTTCAAAGTCGTTTCAGATGGAACCATAGTCGTATCAGATGGTACCACAACCATTTTAGATGCCACTGCAACCAAGTCAGACGTCGCCGCTTCCATATCAGATAACACCACATCCATATCATATGTCACCGCAGTTGGGTCAGATGCCACCACCGCAGGGTTTTATGACCCCCTCTTGGCGGATATTATACTCCCATGCTTGTAGATCCAGCGTGGGGTTCATATGCTACTTATTTGGCGGGTGAAGGTGGACAATATACACATACACCTCAGACACAGTTTTTGCAGTTTTCACAATTTTCTATGAGTAGTGGAATAGTCAGTCATACACCTCCAAGGTCCTTATTCTATAGAGGTGTTACATCGTCATTCGTCCCTCATCAACAAAATGTATCTGCTTCTGATGATGATGATGATGATGACAATGATGAGAGTGAGGAGGAAAAATAAGTTAAACGAAGAAATCCTTATAACAAAACATTTGAAAAATTACATTGGCAAAACTCCCCTTAATAAAACATTTAATGAAAAAAAGTAATATGTTGGAAATATATTAAAGCTCTCTATTTTTTTCATTCTTGAAATTGATTTTTTCAAACCTATACTTCCCCATTTTGTTATATAAAAAATAATTCAAACATTTAGGTTAAAAAATAACAATGGAGAGTAAGTAGAAATTTTAACATAGAATGATTTGAAAATCAAAAGCTCCCCCTTAACAAATGCATTAAAATAATTGACTTTAAAGGCTTGACACTTAAAAAAATTGAATTTTAATAAAGATGAACAAATATGTTGGTAACACATGAAATTCAATAAATACAAGTCTGTATTACTTTATGCAATATTAACATGAAATATTAAAGTTCATATGCATAAAGCTATTAAAAATGTCATGCATTTGAAAATTTTGATATCAATTGTTAGGGAAATAACATTTTCAATAAGCATACATGCATAGACAATTAAATTTAAGGTCAAAAGTAAAATTTTGTAAAAGAAAACAAAGCATTAAAATAAATTTGACCAAAAATAATTATGACGAACCAAAAAAAATCATTGGAACTTTAAAATGTTCACCATGACACATTTTAGCATACATGAGATGAAAAACAACATATAATCATTTTGCTCAAAAACTCATGCATGCATAAAACAAAATCGTCAACCAATTATGCAAAATTTAAAAAAAAAAGTTTGAATTTATTTAAAGTTTTCAAAAAATAATTCATAGTCCATAAAACTTGAATTTGAACACAAAAATGATTTTCTTGAAAGAAGTACCGACATTGTTTTTACAATATCAATACCACATGAACAATATCGATATTGTTCTTTTAGTATCGATATCTAATGTAAGAAAAGTATCGATACCCACATGACATTATCAATACTACTTATTTGTTTTAAATGTGTTCAGATTCCAATATGCATTTTTGGTACCAATACTCAAAGGAGTATCAATACTACTTTGTATAGTAGTAACTATACTATGATATCAGTAACGATACTCTCAGCCCAACGATAAAAAAACAACTAGTTTTTATTAGTGCAATATCGATACTCCAAGCCAGAGTATCAATATTACCTGGTCTGGGCAGTTTTATTTTGTAGTAATTAAGTCCCCAACGACTATAAAACATCTCCAACAACTAGAAACGACTACAAACACATTCCAACATATAAAAACAAGTTAATGACACTTGAAGAATGTTACACACACCTATCCAAACATTGATCATCAAGAGAAAAACTTACATTCTTTATTCTTCATTTTCTCTTGTAAATAGTGTGTTTTTAGTGAGCTTAATTTGTAAACACCTTCCTTTGAAAAGTTTATTGTTTACATTATTTTTATATTTTTTGAAAAAGGGGTTGGTTTCTAGTTTAGTCATTGAAAACTGAAGAGTTGTAAAAGGTTACTCTTGAGCCTAGGAAAAGAAGAAACAAATCAATGAATTTGTTAGAAATTTTTAGTGTGGAGCTAAGGTAGTAGATGTAAACTTTATTGAGGAAACTGAACTACTCTAAATACTTGTGCAAATTTTTTATATTTTCTCTCTATACTCCCAAAA